AACCGTAAGAAGAATTAACAACTGTGATTAATCAATTTGCTTACTGCTTACGTCTTACTGCTTAAGTTTTTCTGTCTGCCACGGCCCTAAAGGGACGTCTACATTGGAAGTAAGTAGGAAGTAAGAGTAAGAAATTTACCAACCATAGTCGAATGTGAAAAGAATAATCAACTATGATTGGTCAATTTCTTATTCTTACTTCCTACTTCTTACTGCTTACTTTCAATGTAGACGTCCCTTGAAGCGTCTTCTACAATGGCAATAGGAGTAGCAGTAGAAATAAGCAGTAAGAAAATGGACCAATTCTATTCTCACGATTCAAGAATAATCGATTGTGATTGGTCCATTTTCTTACTGCTTATTTTTTACTACTACTCCTACTGCCATTGTAGAAGATGCTTAAAGGGACGTCTACATTGGAAGTAAGTAGGAAGTAAGAGTAAGAAATTGACCAACCATAGTCGAATGTGAGAAGAATAATCAACTATGATTGGTCAATTTCTTATTCTTCCTACTTCTTACTGCTTACTTCCAATGTAGACGTCCCTTTAAGCGTCTGTCAACATCTGTAGTGCCAAGACCAAACAACGGCAAAAGAAGGAACTTAGTAGAACAAAACAGGTTAGCAACGTAAACGCTTCTAATATCCGCGTATCACATGGTGATACGTATTGGCACAGACGAGATATTACTGGGTGCTTTCCAATTGCAATATTCCTAGACACTTTCATGCACAGGCGACACAAATTGCATTCCAATTGTCATAATCGTCGACAGTCGTCGACACAACACTACACATCCGCACTCAGCTCGAGGGCTACTAGTCGGCTGTGTAAACTAGTGTTTTCTAGTGAAAATTAAAATTAATAAGCGTAGCGGCTTGAAAAGAGATTAGCATTTGCGACGTAAAGTGAATAATATTTTTTTTATTATTAAGATTTTATTATTTATTATTAAAAAAATACCAAAATATAAGCATAGTTGAAAAATAATCCTAACTTTATCCGACATACGTACACATTAGTACACACTTTGTTTCAATTGAATCGTGCACAACGTTACACTTTGTGCATTTCTGTGTACATATGTGACAAGATGTGTTAAGCAATTGGAAAGCACCCACTAAAGACTGTCAGCCCTGGGTAAATTTTCGACCCGGCCAAAGGACCTGGAGGGGCTCGGAGGTAATTGAAGAACGATGACAATACCGACCGTTTTTTACACAAAGACGTTTCTGTCTGTCCGTGTGACTACTCTTACAAAAAAAATACGAAAAAACAATTTTGGATGTTAACATTCAAATTTAGGTGTTTATCCCCAATTTTTGGGTGTTTACACCCAAAATTGAAGGTTTCTTCGTATTTTTTTCGTAAGAGTACAACATTGACATATAGTACTGGACGGAGCATTATGCCAAAATCGTATTGACAGACATAGAAAAAAAAATTGTATTGACAGACGTAGAAAGAGACAAGACGATGTAAATAGGATAACAGGGGATCAATTGTGTATCTCGAAACGGAATGAAAATTACAAAAGTGAACAAATTCACTAGACATTGACCAACGAAGTTATAAATATTCTAGTAAATTTGCTCACTTTTGTCATTTTCACTCTGTTTTGAGATATATTAATCGATCCCCTGTAAGAATATAGGATATAAAAAAAAGGTGAAATATAAAATGTCAGATTTCTCGGGGTCGCTAATGGCTCCTGCACACAGGACGCGGTAATGCTTGCCGCGCGGCGGAAGTTCGCATAACAGCCAATCAATATGGTGCTTTCCGTAATAAGCTTCTAGCTCTTACGGAAAAACAACATATTGATTGGCTGTCGCGCGGACTTCTGCCGCGCGGCAAGCATTACCGCGTGCTGTATGCAGGAGCCATAAGGAGCAATTAGGAGTATGCTCTAGTTGCTTCAGCTTCGAAGGTGGTGCAGTTGGGGCTGAATTGGGCAGTGTATGCGTAGGCATGCGTAATAAAAATAACGGATGTGTTAAAATAGGTAAGTGATGAGGTTAGACTAATAAGACTTAATTTTTTATTCAGTAGGTCTGAGATACTGTATACATATATATATATTTGCAACAATTTTTATTTTAAAAATTATTATCTGTATAGTAATTAATATTATTTCCACCATCGTATAAGTTTCACATTTTCTTGAAATTGGAAATTGTATTATACAAAAATATATACTACATTTGATATTTTTTTGTAACAGTCTGCAGCAAGAGAAATTGATAACTAAACCGATTAGAACATTATGATGACACATCCCAAAAATACTACTTCATTAATAATTTTTTTAAATCAAATTAATCTTTATTAGAGATAGATCAAATAAGGTTAGAACGTTCTTCATCAGTACTCACTCTCTATTTCTTTGTCGTTCGCATCAAGTAAATCATTAATAGCTGCCAAAGGCACAAAATTTTCAGCAAAAAAATTGTCATTTATTTCATTTACTATAACGCGAAAAACAGCAAAAAAACCTGTAACGGATCCATGCTGCAATGTTGCTGAAAAAGAAGCGAAAGTCGGAAGTGCCAGAAAGTGCTCAAGTCTGTTCGCGTCACTGAGCGTTGGTGCACATGACCTCATTTAGAGATTCTGTAATAAGAGATAGGACACCATGGCCGGTATTCATAGTCAGATCTTATATTTAAGATCAACTTAAGTACTGTCTTAAGTCATGAACCAATCACAGAGCCGTATTCGCATCTTAAGACATTACTTAAGACTCTTGAAATAAGTTTCGACTATGAATATCGGCCCATATGTCAACGTTCTGATTGGCTGCGCCATGTTTGGGTTACGCTTTCGGTTAGAATAATCAGCTGAGTGACAAGAGAAATAGATGAGAGAGCACATCATGTTTGGTCGAAAAACTACAAAATTGCGATTTATAAAATTAGTGTGTTACAAAGAAAATAAGTGTTACATATAGTTTGTTTTACCCATTCAGAACAAAATATGTAATAGACATAGATAAATACATAAAAATATTGGTAAAAATAGAAAATATGTCTGTAGGTTATGTTGATGTCTTCTGTTGCAGTATTAAAATGTTAATTTGTGAAGCACAGCAATGTACTAATAGCTCTGCAAAAGGAGTGTTCGTTCCCAAAAAACAACGAAAATACAGTGTTATGGATAAAAAATGTTGGACGGCCCAACTGGCAGCCAAGAAATGATTCTCGTTTATGTGAAATATGTTATATTTATTTGGTGTTATTGCAATATTGTGGGATCAAAATATCCAGTTCATCTTCTCACATTTTGTCGACAAATAAATTTGTCGAGATCTTGCAGTTTTTCATATACATATTTCAATATGTTTATTAAAACAAGATTAACAATAAATGGAAGAATTTTTTTAAAACGTTTTTTTGATACGTTTTATTATCCAGTACAGTCCTGTCCGAAAAATATCTTAAAGTTTTCTCTAAGAGATCTTTCAAACATACACATTTAAAATACCTTTTAGATATAACATGGCCTGTAGCATATATGCTTGCTGAGTAATTTGAACATATCGCGCGTTATAGGTGTCAACTTCCGCTTTGATCTCAAACATGGCGGATCTGACGGCGGTGTCCTATCTCTTATTAAAGGATCTCTAGACCTCATTTGCTCCAACCGCCATCTTACTCTTGATCCAAGTACTCCTTAGTGTACATTGGAGCACGCGACGCGAACAAACCTATTGATTGGCTATCACGCGGACTTCCGTCGCGCGGCAAGCATTACCGCGTCTTATGTGCAGGAGCCATGAAGTCTAAATGCGAATCGGCTGATTCAGTCAGTCAGCGCCTCACTATCATTGGTCCATTAAAAGTCAGCAGTCGTAGTCGGCAGTCGAGTCGGCCTGTGCAGTTGGTAGTCTAATACTTTAGACCCGTTATTTTTACAGGTTAGTTCTAAAATCTCCGCTACACGAACTGTCACTGTTTTTATCGAAGAATCGAGGATGTAGTACGATTCAACGATAGGTCAGTCAAATTTTTTATTTTCCAGTATTATGGCTAACAGCAAATTCGGCTCTTTTGTTTGCAAATAGCATGGCTCAACAACAAAGTTAGACATTCTTTTATTTCGAACTTTTATCGCTCAACAGAGTCATTTTTATTTTTATTTTTAAGTAATATGACTCAGTTGTAGGTTAGGGAGATATTTAGTTTTACTTCTTTACATTTTCCTTATTTCTCGCTCAAGCTCATTTTTGTGCATATTTTATCTTAATTCTAGGAAACGCAGTTAACAGGGATAAATTGATTATTGCACATGGTCCCAAGCTGGTCGCCATATTTGTTGTGGTTCATAATATATGTAGATACGTCATTGGGACGTTAGAACTGAATTGATTTTATAGTAAAATATTTTTATTGAGTGAGTGTACTTACACAATTTTTTAAGTCGTGTGAAATATACTTTGTGTGTGATGCTATTTGAATTTCATAAAATTATCAAGTTAGACGAATCAAATGTACTGTTATGAAGCATATGTTAATATGCTGTCAAAATTTCATCGCGCCATTATATATATAAATATATATTAAACATTTATAATTAACATTTATAAATATATATTAAACATTTATAATTAATATTTATAAATATATATTAAACATTTATAATAATTTAAATATTAGAATACACACACGGATATGCCTTTGAGTGCATCTGTATTTGTCTTATGCATATATATATGTAAATACACATGAGTACATATATATAAAATTAATAGTATTTATGTTCATAATGCTGAGTTTACGACAGTGTCTCATTCATATTCGTATAAGAAATTGTACCATCTGTACACGAGCTATGTCGAACCATTACCCAAAAGCTATAAAACATCCAACAGCAGGGATAATAGGTCAGAATAATAATTATATATAACGACAAGTATCCCAAAGTTCTACTAAAAATTCTACTCTCTTCAATATGACATTTATATATTTTTAGTTATTGGAGATGAAATATTGAAAGCTCAAGTGAGAGATACAAATTCCTATTACATGTGTAGTTTATTGTATAAATGTGGCATTAAAGTAAAGAAGGTAAATAATTAATTTTCTCCAATGTAATAATTTTAATTAACATTTTTTAATTTTAATTAACATTATTTAAGTAGTACATGATAAAAGTTGATATATATATATATATATAAAGAATTATTTTATAATATTGAATAATTTGTTTCACAGATCTCAGTTATAAGCGACAGTGTTGAAGAAATTTCAAAGGAGATTAGAGACGCTTCCAGTAAATACACTTATGTTATAACATCTGGTGGAATTGGACCAACACATGATGATGTTACATTTGAAGGTAATTATACTATATCTGAAAGAAAAAAAATTTGTGATTATACAGAAGCATCATGATTGGCAGGTCTTGCTAAAGCTTTCGATGATAAGCTCTATTATCATCCTAAACTGGTGGATATAATAAAAAATCAGTTTGGTGCCAAAGATCCTTTGTCTCCTGCTTATAAGATGGCTCTGGTACGTCGATGATGTATTCATATTATAACACATATGATAAAACCACAAGCTCTGTAAATATTAATACTGTTCACTTATTTCAGATTCCAAAGAAAGCTACTCTAAAGTTCAATTTAAATATACGTACAGGCAAGCCAAACGCATATCCGTACATTGTATTAGAAAATGTATATGTTTTTCCTGGTTCACCAATATTTTTTGAGAGATCTTTCCAAGGTTTATACGAGGTAATTTCAACAAAACTATTCTCAGCAATCTTTTTTCTCGGATTGATCTGTATCTCCTTGTGCTTCGTGTGTTGCAGGATTTGCTCTCCGTAACGAGCAGGAGATTTGTAAAAGATGAGGTATTCATAAACGCCAGGGAAGAAGCGTTTACGAATGCCTTATCAACGGTAGTAAAAGAATTCGCCAATGTTTCCTTTGGTTCCTATCCAGTGAGCAATTACAGGTAATGCAAAGTGAAGCAATCGCTAGTTGTTTTAAACGCGACACAACGTGTATGCTCAAAACACACAGTTCCATATTTCTTTTATTTCACAAATATCGCAAACAGGATATCCTTTTCGCGGACCTGGTTTTGCGCATTTCTAACGACTCTTTTCAGCGAGCGATTTCTATTTCGCAAGAGTAAAACACGACGTGAATGATATATAGGTACTACAAAGCCTTCGTGACTATAGAGAGCGATAATGAAATTGACACGGAAAGTGCGAAACGACGATTTTGCGAGCTCAATCCCGCCCACATTTTGGTCAAATTTGACCGAACGCCGCACGTAAATTGCATCACGAAGTACAGTAATTTTCTTCAAAGTTGCCCGCATCGTCGTTCGTTCTACGAGCAATCGCTGGAAGAGCTTCGGTAAAGGAGAACAATGCGTTTTAAACTTGAATATCGTCATACCAATATACGCACATTGGACATTAACAGTTTCCACTGCGCACAGACAGTTTTATCGAGACTCTGAAAGCGTTTCCATACGCGTGGACGGCGGCATAGAGTCTAGCATCGTTATTCACCTCGCCCATATATGTAGAGTCCAATCTAATTCGAGTGACAAGTTGCGAGCAGTCTACTTCAAAGAGAAGCGGACGTCGATCCATCTCGAGGAATTCATCAAGGAGATGATTGACAAGTAATGGTGGCCCCAGTCGATACGATGAAATTACAATTCGAACAATCGAATAGATTAGCATGTAAATCAGCGTTACACAATAGCGTTACGATATTCGGTAGAGAGAGATGAAAATCGGTTCGTATATTTGTTAGATATAATCTGGCGGTGTGCACCGTGGAGGCCGAGCCCGATAAAAGCGTAAGCGAATTAATATCCATGCAAGCGCATTTGCGAACGCTGCTAGTCGGAGAGGCCGGAGAGGACGGCGTGAATGAAGTTAACCGTGGTTATGCCGGCGCGAGTAACACGGACCGATTGCAAATCAATAATCCTTTGCGTAACTGGACAAACGAGGACGTGTGGTCTTTCGCCTCGTCGCTGAGCCTGCCTTATGTGACGACGACGACGACGACGACTGCTTGAAGGAAAGCGGGGTAAGGAAGAAAATTATACTGTAAAAGCGCCTCGTGTGACAGCGTCGTAATAGCAGTATAGTGATAGTAGTAATTGAAATATATCTGATCGATAGAGGGCGTCTATTCTCGCGACATTGTTATACCTCGAAGCACGTTACGAGGGAGGATATATCGTGAGCAATCGTGACGGGACGCCGCATGTCAGCATGTTTACAGCGACAAATTTTACGGGGATGCGGAACATTCGTAATCGATATTTAGCGTTACGCGCGCGACGCCAAGAAGATTTCATCGATCGCTCTCGGAGCGCCGCTCGGGACGCTATAATAGGATAACCATTAGGATAACGAAAATTTATCATCGCGATCTTTCTCTTTCTCTCTTTCTCTCCCTTTCTCCCTTCCCTCCCCTCCTCTCCCCTCATCTCTCTCGAATTCAGATTTCAGAAATCCGCAAATGTGTCTCCGGCGTCGGCTCGCAGGCATACAGAGATATCGTTTAATATTCGTAAGGGCGAGTGCGACGCCGCGCGCACAAAAGCAAAATCCGGTGTTGTCTACGCGCGCTTTCAATATGTCCGCTCAGCCATCCGAGTAGCGAAACTGGAATGTACATGGAAGAGGGTACGTCGGCGGGAAGAGGAGCAGAAGCAGGAGGAGGAGGAGGACGTCGAGGGGGATGAGGGTCGTGGAGAGTTACTCCCCCCGCGCTCGCGAGGGTGGGAAAGGAAGGAAGGGGAGCAGGCGGACTGTGAGCTCGTATTACACATTTTTCAGCAGAGGAAAAGCCGGCTGGCTGAGAGAAACACCCTCGCCTCCTCTTCCACCTCCACCATCACCACCACCACCTCCTTCTCCTCCTCCTCCTCCTTCACCGCCCGTTCCATTCTTTTGAAATTTCATTCCGAGTTAAAGTATTCCCCCACTTTTATCCTCAGGAACTTTAAAATGAGAGCGAGTCGCGGTGCCGACGTGCCTCGCTCGCGCTCTTGCTATCTCTCTCTATCTTTCTCTCTCTTGCATCCGCGTTCGTTTGTGTGTACGTCTCGTATCCCGTGCCTATATCCTCTCGCCCATAAGCACTGGCCGACGTCGATGACGCAGGCGACCACGACAACGCACAGTCGATGAAATTTACTTAAGCCGCGAAATTGCTAATTGCTCGATCGGGATCACCCTCGGATTTCGCGACACGACAGGCACGGGAGCGTATGACGTTCATGCGTGGATGCACGCGGGCGCATACGTGAGCGTGCATAGAGTTTGCGTTTTGCGAGAGAACAGAAAGACCGTGGTACTAGAGATGGAACGAAACGAAACGAAACGAACGTATATTTCCAGAACAAATATTTACGCGAAAGAGGTATAAAAAGAGCGAAAATGTGTTTTCTGTTTGATTTGCGACTGTATTTTTCTTTCCGGTCCAACGGCTCTCTCCTCCTCCTGCTCCTCCATCTCCTCCGCCACCTCCTCCCCCCGTCGCCGCCATCACTCAGGCAACCACCCAACCACTCACTTACTCTCGACTAGCTCTCCCCTCTTTCGCGTTTCCTCGCGGATCCTCGTCGCCCTCGCCCGTACCCGCGGTGGGCGGACAGAAGGGTGCACCCACGAGAGGTAGAGAGGGACAATCCTGCGGGCATAGGTTACAGACGTATATACGCCGTCGTCGAATTGATGTTTCGAGCAGTTTTGAGCGATGGAACGAGACAGCGGCGGCGGCGTCGTCGTCCTCCTCCTCCTCCTCCTCCTCCTCCTCCTCGCAGGAGGGATACACGGCGTCGGCTCGCGGATCCACGACGGCGCTTCCACCGCCGTTGCGGCCGCCGCCGAAGAAGACGCGGAAGTAATTTAGCTTCTTGCATCAATTCGTCATTCTCGATGTTTTCGCCTCGGACTCGCTGTCCTTCTCTCTCTCTCTCTCTCTGTCGTTCTCCGTTCGCTTCCTCCCCCGTGTCTCGGCCGGATCGAGATAAACTACTCTCCTCGGCTACTTCCGCTACCGCGAAACCGCGAAACCGTCCGGCGGTTTTATCCCCGTGGAGACACCGCGCGACGATCGCAAGGACGTCGACGAGTACACGAGGACGATGCAGGCAGGTCTCCTCCCAAGCGCGTCGCAATACTCTTCGTTGTTATACACGAGCGAGCTTTTCATCTAGGCCGGCAAAAGTCCGCGTCTAATCCAATAGTAATCTCTCTGCTATCTCGGCAATTCACAAACTTCGCTAATTATTCCCACCCCGTCCCGCTCCCCCTTCCCGCTCGCTCGCATCGGAGAAGTTTCGGCCCCGTAGCTCTCTCGCGTAGACGGTGCATCCCCGAGATAATGCACACGAGCGAAAGAAGGAAAGGGGTGCTGCAGCGGCAATAACCGGGCACGTGTGCCGCACACGCGCGCACTCCTCGAGTGCCAAATATCTTCGCGCTATTTACGATATGTACTCTCCGCTACTCCGGACGTGGTGGTTCCTTACGGAGCATCCCGACCCTATCACGATTGATCCCACGAATAATACACGTGCCGGCGCGTTACGGGGGAGACGCGACAGCTCGTATGTCGCGCATACACGCACGTACACGAGGAGAAATTTACGATAAAAGTCGCCGTAAGATTTTGCAACGATACTGATCGACATTTTCTGCAGTGATTCGTTCTGTTCTTTCATTTCATATGCGTTACTTACACCTTAGGAACTGAAGCTACGCTGTTGAAACACTGCTATTCCGAGAGAAAAATGTTTAATATGTTTAACTATAATCACGTAGAGAAATTATGGCCAAGAAAAACATTCTCAATTGAATAATGTTAATGATAATCTGAATTATAATGTTAATGATATCTTTTATGTGCATATGTTACCATTACCAATTCTCGTGTTTGAATAAGCAAAACTATGTTTGGGGCCGGAAATAACTACGTAGTTTCGTCTAGATAATCTTTTTTCTTT